GGGGGTGTATATGAGTGAGTTTTGCCCAAGGGGCTGATTATGTTTTCATCATTTTTACTCACTGTTTAATCACTTCGTAATGGTTTTACTGAAACTGAATTTAAATGAGCTGAGCTGATTCAAAACCCTGATTTTATAAGCCTGTTGTATTTTACTGAGGTTTCATGATATGAATTGTATATGTTTTATTGCTCGTTACTACTGCTCAGTTTTTATTACCTTTATTACATACCGATTTGGTGTACTCACATTACTCCCTGCACCTTGTGTGCAGATCGAGGGATTGTTGGACGTGCTAGTGAGTGTTGTTTTCATCCATCGCGGATCTGTTGGAGTTAGCAAGGTAGCTGCATGGCGACCGCAACCATGCTCTTCTCCCTCTTATTTTCCTATAGATGTTATTAGTTGGTTTCCAGATTGTAGTAGTCTTAGTATTATCGAACAGTTCTTAATAGATGCTCATGACTAGTGACACCCCGATGTCAGGTTTTTCTTTCCGCACTTTGATATTCAGATTTATCTTATAAAGTTTTATTGTTTAAATAGCTTGAAGAAATCATGAAATTGAAATATCGGGCTGTTTTGGGTAGAAGAGTCGGCTTGCCTAGTTCCACGATAGGCGTCATCGCAACATGGTAGATTTGGGTCATGACAAAATATTTAATCATTTCCTAATATTAAGAGTTTAAAATAAGCTAAATTTTAACATTATTTCTCTAATATTTAGGAATTTGAAATCAACTAAAATTTTAAATAAATAAATATTTCCTTAATTGAACTTTTATATAATGAGTCCTACACGCAAGCTATGACCTGATATATAACAACAATTTCGTTTTCGGAGGAAAAAAAAACTTAAAGTTCCGTTTATGTCCTAATTTTAGAAGACAATATTAAAATTCAACTAATCTATTCTACTCACTATTACAAAAGTATGACGAAAAAAACAGGAAGACCAACAATTAATATTGTAATTATAATCAGTGTTAAATAGATGTATTTTTTATTAGGATATTGATAATGAAAACCTAACAAAGCTAACGAATATAACGCTGCTGAATTAGCATTTTCTAATTCCTTATGATATACTTATTTTTTCCTACTTTCTACTATATTAGAAGTGTGAGTACAGTAGGTGAAGCAGACACCTCTTCGTCGACATGTTTGCTTGCTGCTGGAGACAATTTCGTCCTTACTGCTCTTGTGCTATCCAAATTCCTGTTGTGTCCCTGTATTGGCTGATTTGACTCGTTTAGAGAAAGGCTACATAGGTAATTTCGCAAGCCACTCTGACTGCCACCACCTAAATCTCTGCTTTACCAAGATTTTCCTTCGCATCTCTCTTTTTGCTTTGTTTAGATTCCCTTTGCTTCTCCGTTGACGCATCAATTTCTGCTATATATTGACAAGAGATTGTGATTTTTGCTGAGTTTTTGCAATTCAATATTTGCTCCATCAAGATAATCACAGGTTAGAAGGTTAGTTTTACTCTTCCGTTTCTTTTTCTTCAACTGTTGTTGGGTTTGGATTGTTTCCTAGTGGATCTGCCTAAATTAATTCAACTTTGCAGTTTACACTCGATTTTTTTATGCAATTTGTATAATCCAGGCCCTTAAAATTTCTCTATTCCAATTTCGGTCTGCAATTTTTGTTACAATGTTTGGGGTATTTCAAATTTGCATATGCTTGTTAATCCATCTCTGTCCTTCAGAGTTAGATTATAATTTCATGTATCCAGGGAGATGAAGACGAGAAGTAGTACTTGGAACAAAAAAAGAGGTAAAAATTATTATTCCTTATAGATAGCTATTTTGTGTATGAATTATTTCCAGTAATGTTTGATTGAATGGTTTAGTTACATGAAAATCTTAGTTTTGTCATGCTGCTTCTTGAATTTATCATTAAAAGAAAAAAAACGGGAGTTAATTGGTCAGCACAACTGAAATCTGAGTAGTATTCTCAGTTTGTTAAAGTATATGTTTTAATATCTTTAGTTATACATGCAATTTTGGACTTTGGTTCGACTACTATGTATTTTTGTATATATAGTTTGGACTAACAGGTAAACATTCCTGATTTGGGGATTTTCCTGAAATATTAAAATGTACTGCACAACAGAATACAAAGCCTTCAGAATATTTAAAATATTTTTCTGATTATTTAGTCTTCCATTGTGGTAATTTGCACTAGATTGTTCTTTGAATTTTTGGTCTACATGTTTAGAGGAATAAACCTAGATGGTCCCTTATGACATTGTCTCTACACAGACAAACTTACATGTTTGCACATCTGAGTATGACTTCATTTTTCTAATTTTCTTCTGAGAGTTAATTGTTGCATTTCATCGAAAGACCTGTGTCAGTATTAATTAAAATGATTTTCTTTAGGAATTAATTTAGCCAATCCTTATTCTTCAGCAAAAATGTTTATCCCTGAATGAATCACATATAGAACTACAGTACCATTGGAAACATATAAAGTCCGTAGAAAATATATTGTTAGAACCTAAATTAGAAGAAATAATAACTATCACCAGCCCTACAATATTGATAAATGATCATTGAAGGAACAAAGAAAATAATTCAAAAAGATCTTTATGTCTAAGGAAGGACATTGTTCTGGATATGTAAATTTATAGTAGTGTTAACCTACATGTTTACATCTTATCCACGTTTCTATGTTTTTTTTTTTGGTTGATAAATTTGGTTGGAAATATAATGGCTTGATTTCACAAGTTCTTGCTTCTACTAAAATACATGACTTCAACTATATAGGTGATTCTGCACTTCTTTAGTCTATTGTCATATGCTTATTAATAATACTAAATAGTTATGCTTTATATTTCATATTATTGTGGTAATATATCTCTACTTTAGTAGTAATAAATTTATATGCCTACAAATAAAAGAAAGATGGACAACGCTTAAATTGAGCAGATCAGGAACGTTCATATCTTGGTGGAAAAAATAGTGAGAAATGCCTTAGAGAGAAATGGTACATAATTAATTTTTCATAAGACTCTTAAACATCATAAGATTTGACGCTACGGAGTAACATTCATTAACTTCTAGCACTAGCAAATATTTTTTCCTCAACTATCATGGTTCCTTACTTCGGCGGGGTACAAATATTTAAATTTGATGTTTTTAGATACTTTCTATTAGTGCAACACCAAGTGTAGTTCCTGTACAGAAGACTTCATATGCACTAATCTCATATAAGACTATAAAGCAAGTCAAACAAATTCAAACACAAATTATAACTAATGTATTGGCTATACCCAATACATTTCCCCTCCTCTTTTGTTAAAATTTATGGAATTAAGAAAATAATTTAGGTGAGTAGACTCTAAAGTATGTTACAATCAAGAATTTAAAGAGAATTTTCAAAAAAATATTTCTTTTAATAATTGTGATGTACGGATGTGTTACTTTCTACTTTTTCCATTCTGATAATTTGTAGTACGCACATGCTAAAGCATTTTTTGTTTTGCATTTTCCAGACCAGCTTGTTGTCTCGGTCGCAAGGCAAAAACACTCTGCTTCCTAAGAGCACGACAACTATTAGGGACCTAATATAGCTGATAGAACTGCAGTTTGTATAGATTCTGAATCAAATTATGTAGATTTTGTCCAACTTTACTTCACAGTTTGTAAACAAAAGTTTTTTTTTATGTTAAATCAAAAATTTATAAGCTCCTTGGGCCGGGCACTACTGCCAACTAGCCTTATAAGAGGGAATAGCAGAGATCTCTCGGTCAACATGTCTGTTTCATCGTGAGGGGTATTTTTGAAAGCTTGCAATATTTGTGCTTCACTCCTGTTGTACCTAAAGGCTTCATACAAATACTACAGCATAATCCTTTTTCGTGTTGACTAATGTACTCTTCTTGTTGAGATGAGTTATTGCAGCTTTATTACATCATTACACCAGTGGGCCCACTTCAATTTTTTTGTTCACACATTCATACGCAGTCTTCTTTGGACGTTATCACTTCTCTGACTATGTTGGCCCACTACATTCCCCCATTTCACATACAAACTCAATTTGCCCATATACCCAGTTACCCACATAGAAGCAATAATTGTTTACCTAAAGAGTGCTATTACTTGCTTTCTTTAATTAGGAAAATTTGATTTCTTAATCAAGGTTCTTTTATATTTTTGAAAGTTAACATTTTATTTGTCAGAAAATAAATAAAATCCACCTGCTCAATTTGGGTTTCAAAAAAATTACATGCATATATATTCAATAACAAGCCCGATTAAAGTAGGAAAAAAATGCATGTTCATTTGACATATGATTGAAATGCAATATCAAATTTTAATGAATAAAAATAAAAGATTTTTGCTACTTATCTTTTCTGTTAGGAATATCGAACACTGCCTAATTTAATGGTAGTCTTTCTATAACAAACGTAGTTCTTGAATATAAAACTTTTGATAACAAAAATTAAGCAAATTATGAAAATAAATGTATATAAAATTAAAAATACAATTGTCTCCTTCTTTTGTTTTAAAATTTACTAAAATTTACGTTCTTAACTTCTGCTGTTGCTTCAATGGCAATTGAAAAATCATAAAGTAGTTCTTCGTTATATTTTAAGCATCATTAAATCAAGATAAATTTGATCAATGATGTATTATATACTTCAAAATTTTGAGTAATACTGAGGCAGCTTTTTACTCACTGCCATTGTTTGGATAAAAAAACATATATATATCAATTTAAGGATTAGTATTTAGTTAACAGATAAAAAGGAGCTTCCCGAAAACTATTATGTAAACTTCTCAAAAGCACTNTATATATATATATATGTTGTTCCATATTTGCATAAATTGATATAAACAAATAAATGGGAAAGAATGTAGCCCATGTAATCAAACGCTTAAGTCTTAAATATATTCTTTTCCTTATTCATATTCAAATAGCTATGAACTTCTTTAGTCGAGAATAAGTGTTATTTCAGCTTAATTAATTTGGCAAAAATAAATGTTCGTTTGAAAAAGCAAGAACGAATTTATTATGTTTTTTCAAATCTATCCTTAATCCAATAAATAATCTATAAAATATGAGAATATATAAAGAGTAATTTGAGAAGATACAACTAATTATTTTTAAATAAATCTTATATTACTAATACTAAATGATTTTCTTAATGAGTTTGCAAAAATTTTAAACGATACTGACCTGATTTAGATGAGATAGCATTATCTAACTATATGTGTATTCCTATTTTAATTAACTTGAAATTGAAAGTAAAATTCGTGACTTTATAAGTTAGAATTTATATTGTTAACATGAATAAGTTAATCTAAACATTTATTCATGCTAATTAATGCAACATTATTATCATAAAGAAAGCTCCATTTCAATTTTATGAGAATATATAAAGAGTAATTTAAAAGATATAACAAAAAGTAAGTTAAAGTAACTCTTATATTATTAATACTAAATGGTTTTCTTAAGGGGAGTGCAACAATTTTAAGTAACACTTATTTTAGACCGTACGTAGCGTTCCCTAAGAACTTATGCACGACTATTTTAATTAACTTGACATTATAAGTAAAAATCATGACGTTCTAAGTAAGAATTTATATTGTTACCACGTACTAGTTAAGCTGAACATTTACTCATGATAATTAACGCGACATTATCCAGAAGAATACTCCATTTCAATTTTAAGTTTTCAGGTAAGCTGGGCCTAACAAAATTAAAATTAACTTTACGATTTTTCGGACATGAACTCTAATCCGAGTTCTTTCACAGCCAAAAAAAAGAAGAAGAGAAAATGGTATTGTATGACAATGCATAAAGACAATTGACAAGCTTTTAGCCTTACATTAGGTTTTACAACATAAGCCTAAAAAAATTGACACCCAATAACCAAAATTATTTTCCTTAATTATAGCAAAAAATATTTAGAACTCCATATTCCTAGAAATTAGGTTTCATTTTCATTAAATTTTTTGTTTGAGTATCTTAGCATACGTATTCTCTTTTGTTTTTATTATTTTATTTTTCACTATATCAATGTATAACAGGTTTAGAGCAAATTCTAAAATACAAAAATAATAAATATAATTGTGGGAGTAAATAAATTTTGATATACGAGGACGGAAAATAATTTTTGATATAACACGTTTAGAGAAAGTTTTAATATAAAATAATAAATATAATTGTGGGAGAAAATAAATTTTTTACATAAATTTTGATATACAAATTGATATATACCAAAAAGAAAAAGAAAATTGTGATACCCAATTTAGTATTTTAGTATACACATTACTTGATATATTATACACTTGATATACAAATAATATAATTATTTTTGTTGTGATATAGAGACAACAATAAATTTTAAATAGCTATACTTATTATATTTTAGATATACAAAGAAGGAAAATAAAATTTTGATATACACAAAGAAGGAAAATAAAGTTGTGAGATACATTTTGATATATATATATATATATATATATATATACCTTTATTGGTTACATAGTATTAATATTTATAACTATAGCTTTTTTTCTACTAATTATATGAGCACGTTATCATACCATGTCAAAAATTAAAAAGAAAAAAAAAACTTAGCATAATGTTATTCGGCCCGTGCGCAGTATGGGCTATCACTTACTAGTTCCTACTTCTTAGAAGAGGGAATAGAAGAGAGCTCTCCGTCAACATGCTTGCTTCCTCACGAGGGTAAATTGGTCATTTCATGCGTTATTATGCTTAGATTGTCTATTATGCCCGTTTTTGCTGTTAACGTGTTCTGATCTGGAGTATGGCTGTCCAACGGGACGGGTTGGCCCGTCCCATCCCAGTCCCATCCCGCTTCAAGTTAAAGGGATGGGCCAATGTTAAACGGGACACAGGATGGGACGGGACGACCATTTCGTCCCGTTTGTCCTGTCCCGTTTCGTCCCGTCTCGTCCCGCATCCCGCCAGATTTTTTTTTTAAAACTAGCCGTTGGGAAACGACTTAAATTGCAAAAATAACCGTTGTCAATGGTCCAAACAGTCCCTATCCCCCCCTCCCCCAAACTTTTAATATAACCCCTAAGTTGATTAAATTACACTTTGGCCCTATTTTCTACTATAAATACCCTCATTCTTCTTCATTTTTTCCCACAAAAAATCAATCTTCTCTCTCAAATCTATTACATTCTAATATTCTATCTATATTATTCTCTCAATTTTGTTACTATCAAGTATCAAGTGATAACTTTCAAGTATTTGGGCAAATGTTTTGGAGCAACTTTCAAGCTTCAAATTAATTTGTCAAGTATTTGGAGTAATATTTTGGGCAATTTCTTCAAGTTTCAATATTTAATCACGGTGCACTCACTCCATTTTCTAATTTTAATATATAATTTTTGCGTATCATTTTAGTGCTTAATTTTTGTGTTTACTTTACGTGTTATATTTTCGTATTTCATTTCTGTGATTAATTTTTGTGTTAGCTTTTTAATTTAATTTCGTATTTAAATTATGGCACCTAAAAATGTATTTGGCATTTTTTAAAAAAGTAGTAAAAAATAGTAAAGGTAAAAGTAGTAGTAATCCTAATCCTAACCCTTCTCCTAGACCTAGAATTAGAAAACATATTGATGAAATGACTCATGTTGATAAAACTTCATTTTTCCAACCCTCCACATTTTATGATGCTCATGTCGGAGAACAATTAGATCACGAAATTTTACAAAGACAATTTGGCAATGATATTTTTTTTGAGGACGAAGAAAATGAGGATGAAGAAAATGAGGAAGAAGAATTAGATGAAACACCCACTAGTCCCGCAACACAAGCTCTAACTCAGAGTCAATCTCAACCTGAAGCTTTACCCCATATACCCCCTGTAAGGGGTAAGTCTAGGGCTGAACGTCCCAAAACATCACTTGTATGGAAATTTTTTAAACATGATAAAGTCAATCATCGTGTTATATGTGAAAAATGTAAGCAACAATTTGCACACACAACAAGTGGTGGGATGGGGGGTTTAAGTAGACAATTAATAAGGGATCACAACTCTTTATGGATACAAGCTAACATAGAAGCCGGAAAAATTATAGATCCTACCATCAGTACTGACACTCCTAGTGGATCTGGTTCTAATCAAATTCAACAACAACTTGACCCTGCTTCTGGTCATGTTTTACGCAAATATAACAAAGATAGAGATCGTGAGAACTTAGCAAAAATGGTGGCTGTATGTGGCTTACCTTTTACTTTCCCTTCTCAACCTGCTTTTGTGCATTATATACAAGAAACTTATAACCCTGTTTTTCAAGGTTTTTCTAAGACCACGGTTAGAAATGATGTTTTTAAATTTTAAACCGAATATCTTCAGTATATTCGTTGTGTATTTTTTCACTTAGATTGTAAAGTGTCTATCACATCTGATATAGGTTGTAGTCCTAATGGTTGTGATTATTTAACTGTTACATCTCATTGGGTTGATCATCACTGAAAGTTGCAAAAACGTATTATTGGTTATAAATTTGTTGATTCAAAACACACTGGAGCATATATTACAACTACTGTTCTACAAATACTTGATTTTTATAGACTCAATAATAAAGTTTTAACTATCACCTTAGATAATGCTTCTGCTAACACAACCGCAACAAATAACTTAAAATCTAGACTTTGTCCAATTAATCTAATACTTTTTCATGTTAGATGTGCATGCCATATTTTTAACTTGGTTGTAAAAGATGGTCTTAATTTATTTTCTGATGCTTGTAGTAAAATACAACATGCTTATTGCTATATTTTTCGTGCTTATAAACAAAGTAGAATTCGTGAATTTGCTCAACAATGTGCTAGTGCTAACCTTCCATTTAGAAAAGTTTCAAAAGTTGTTTGTACTAGGTGGAATTCTACTTATGAAATGCTTAAAGTTGCTTATGATTATCGGGTGCCTATCCAAAAGGTATTTAATATGCATAATGCTCACCCTGTTGATTAAATTGTTGATTCTGATTGGTATGAGATCAAAGAGCTTACTAAATTTTTAGAAAAAATTTATTATGCTACAAAATAATTTTCTGGTATATATTATCCTACTGTTACACAAATATTATGGTATATTTGTGGAATTTCTGTTGTATTTGGTAAGTATAAAACAAATCCAACTTATGCACCGGCCATTAAAGAAATAATTTTAAAATTTAAAAAGTATTTTTTCCCTATTCCCGAAGTTTATTTAATTTCTACTCTACTTAACCCATCTTTAAAACTAAGAGGTGCAAAGGGACTTGTCCGTAAAATTTATCAGAATTTAGAAATTCAAGAAAATGAACAACCATCTCTCGAAAACTGCCAAGCTAGCATATATTCTTATGCTAGATCAATGTTTGATAAATATAAATTTATGGATACAACTAGTTGTGAAACTGCTCCTTCTACTTCTAAGTCTAGAGCAGAAGTTTTATGGGAAGATATGGATGATATAATAGGTTTTGATTCCTCTATTGATGATGAACTTGATTCTTATCTTAATTAAGGATTGGAAAATATTAAAGATGAAGAAGGCAAAGAACAACCTTTGTCATGGTGGAGGGAGCGTGGCAAGGCTTTTCCAACACTTTCAATTATGGCCCGAGATATTCTGGCTATTCAAGCATCATCAGTAGCATCGAAGAGTGCTTTTAGCGGGGCAAGATTTCAAATTGGAGATCATAGACATGCATTAGCGGAGGACAGTCTAGAGATTTCCGTATTATTTAGAGATTGGATTAATTTAGAAAGAAGAAATCTTGGTTTTGAAAAATTAACCACTAGGGAAGAAGAAGAATACAATGAGATACTTACCACTGGAAGCGATGACGGCATGAAGCTCATGGAACATCAATCAACATTGCCAATTCCAGTAGAATGTCCGAGAGATATTATTGATAAGTTACAAAGAAGCTATATAGGAGCTTACAAATATTAGTATGATAATTTTTAATTGGCTACTAAGAGTCCTAGTTCAAACAGAACCCTTCCTAGAAGGTGGCTGCGTAGATTAGATGCTCTTCAAAAGCATTCTATTTGTATTTAAGATTTGAAAGTTCTATTAATAAAATAAAAGGCTCTAAGCGTTGATGTTTTTTTATGAATTGTCTTAGTTACTTAATAGTTAATACTTTGAAATTATATCAAATAAATTATAACGGTATTATAAATTTATAATTAGTAGAATATTTCATTACAAGTCTTTTGTTTTAATATTTTATAATTCTTTACTTAGTTTTTTAATTTTTATTTTAACATAGTAACATTTAAGTTTATTAAATAAGTCAAAAATCTAGCCATTGCAACCTTTAAAAATATAGTAATTTTCAAAAAAACTAGAAGTTCTTTTAAAAAAAAATATACTAAAGGCCCACGAACCCGTCACGTCCCGTCCTATCCCGTCCCATTCCGTCCCGTCCCATCCCGTTTGTTAGCGGGACGGGATGAGATGACCGTTTTGTCCCGTTTGTCCCGTTTGTCCCGTTTTGTTTCGTCCCGTCCCGCCACCGTCCCGCTTAAATGTCGNGGGGTGGGCTGTTTGGACTGGTGGCTTGGGCTGTCCGCTTGGGCTGAGTTCGTTGGGCCAATTTGTTAAAATTGGCCCAAGTCCGGAAGGGCCTTTTCTTTCTCTCTTTTTTTTTTTATTTTTTATTTTTATTTCTTTTCTTATTTATTTTAAAACAAAACTAAAAAAAAAATCAAATTAAAATTAAATACACACTCAAATATAATTATTTGCGCACATACTAAAGTATTTCAAAACCGGTAAAGTCAAACCAAACAAAATCATGGACGAAAAATGCCTATTCACGATTTTCTATTTAATGACCGAATTACGGTTTGAATTACGCAGGACACATATATATTTTTTGAATTTTATTTTAATAAAGTAAATAAATAAGAATGGGCCAAAATCACAAATAAATCCACAAGGTGCCGCACAGAAATCCGAAATTGTACAGCGGGGCCAATTATATATTTTTTATTTCTTTTTGGAGCGATTGTCGTGTGAAGCAAAAATCACGTGCTCACATCGTCTCGTCCCATCCTGTCCCGTTAATTTTTTCCCTTCCAGTTGGACAGCCATAATCTGTAGTGGAGTCCAAAGCCACTTCGCTACCGTGTCACAATGTCAAGCACCACTGTGCTCTCTTGGTTAATCTGTTTTCTCTCTCCCCACGCCAACGTTCAAAGTTTTGTTATTCCAAGGTAATTCGATAGTTCAAAAGTTAGTTTATTGATCTATGTTTTCGTACGACGAAGCTTCATCTCTGTTCTTGTGACTTTCTGATTTTGTATTTTTCCTATGGCCTTTAATTCCTCTGTAAGTTTCTTTTTGCTTTATATTTCACTTTGTTTTTTGAATGTTTATTGTCGTCTGAATGCGTCGCCCTAGCTTTGTAATTGATTTATTTTATTGACATGCAAATGGGTAATTTGTGCAAAAATTGGTTTGATCCTTGCAATTTTTGACATTTTACAGCTGGATAACACTCTATTTCGTTGTCTGCGATAAACTACTTAAATATAATTTGATTTTACGCCATAGATCACCAAAAAGTTTATTACCATATCTGATGCAAATGGTAAAGAGAAAAATTTACAGTGAGGGAAGTTCACATATAGAACAACGGTTTCTCACTATGAATGATTAAGCTATGAGATTGTAGTTTAGCTATGAGATCATACGACTTTGCACATGTCCTTGATACAGAAAGCTTAACGAAACAGTGTTAAAAGCAAAGCTGCTTTTTTGCTTAAACATTTAAAGAATATGTTGCATAAGAATCCCTATATGCATGATTACTAAGTGTAAATAGTTAGAACATATGTGCGCACGATCCTGAGAACAAGTCTCCATATGGAGAAGGTTGACTCCTAGCTTGCTACAGTCCTAGAAATTGCTCTACTGTTACTATGGAAGTATTTTCAATTTTATTTCTTTAATTATAAACCTATTTACCTTATATACAATTCTGACGACGAAAGAATTTGTAGATTTCTTACAAATGTAAATTGATTTTGTGTAGTTTTAGAAGCATGAAGTTCGTCGATAAAAGATGAGATAAACACTAAAATAACCTGTAGATCTAATAGTTACAAATACAGAATCTACTGTCACTATACAGGTCAGAGTGTAGCCCATATATACATAGGTCCAGTTAAAAAAAATACTTCTGATTTACTGCTCTTTATGATTCTTCCACAGCTTTACAACTTTTTCCATACTTGCCCCTGCTATATTCTTAACATTCTGACAGTTTTCAGTAGCATAAACGAATACTGTGTTTTGACAAAGTTTTCCTGCATTATTAAATTTAGTGTGTATGTTTAAGATATTAGGGAAATAACATTGTAATTATGGTACCTATTACTTTCATATATGCTGGTCACTTGAAAGGTTTACAACTTCAGCTTCAGTCTTTCACTTTAACCGTTGTCTTGAACTCATCCGACGAAGAATGAAACTAACATACCAAAACCAAATACACATTTATTCACTTTTTTAAATGATAGTATGTTTTACAATGGAATAACTTTGTCATAGCATTGTATTGAATTCATATACCTTTCCATTGTCAGTAGAATAAACAACAAACTCTCCTACTTTAAGTCTACTGAGGTACTTTTTGTCTTGATTTCTGTGAACTATTTGAAATGCAGATATCTCACAGTAATAAGTTTGTGAAGAAATGTCTTATGACCGAAGGAACAAACATATACAGAAGATACAAAAGAGGAATCCTTAGTGGAAAAGCTTATTGCAGAAGCATCCGTAGGAGAAAATTGTTGTGTTATTATATTCATCACCGATGTCTGGTATTTATATTGCCACAGTCCTTAATAAGTTATAATCACTGACATCCCTGCTGGTTCTAAAACATGTGAACTTCTTTAGTGGAAAATGTGTGAACTTGTAGCTATCTTTTTTTCCGGGATTAACAGTACTGCACAAATGACATTCCTCAAACAAACAGATAAAGCACTTGGAGCAAATTAAAACACATGTATAGCCCATCAAAGCAGAAAAAACTTAACAGTTTACATACGGTAAAGTGTCATTCAGCGAAATAATCCTTTTAACATGCTATTCAGAAAAGTTATAGAATTTATGTACAGCAGAAAAGATGAAATTGTATATTTAAATAATGAACAAAACCTTGATGTTATGTTTATATGTCAGAACTTGCTAGATTCTAAACCCGTTAAGGTTTCTCTTATTTTGATTGAATAGTAAAACTGGATATTTATTTCTCATAAGTTCTCTTTATATAGAAAAAACTATTGTTGCTGTTAGACTGTGAGTAGTTTTGATATTTTCAGATTCATCTCTGAATTAACCCTCAGTAATTCACATCAATGCTTCAATGATTACATTTACTAGGCAGTTTGCTGATGCATTTACGACCGTAATAACTGATGAACTTGTATATTCCATTTCATTTTCCTTGTACTCTAAACCGAAAATGTCATATATGCTATGAAGCATGTGCTACATCTATATCTGGGTGGTCATGAAGAATAACAACTTCTAATTTCATATTTATTTCTTGTGCAACTATAATTTGAACCTTAATATTCTATGCCAGGATTGGCTAATCTGACATGTCTATGTCCGCACTCATAAGCATACTCTACAATGTTTTTAGAGTATTGTACAGGTGGTCTGTCAAGTCCTTGCTTAAACATAATGTTTATCTACACATTTTACAATTATGTCTTCTAATTATATAATAGTTAGATTTATTTCACTGTTGCTAAAGTTGATTTGACATAATAGTTTATCATCTTTGTTGATAAATTTTTTAATTGTTGCTATCCTGCGCAGATTCATATCAGCAGGTACTGCTGGAAGACCATATGACTTTGGCATTGAAGCTTCTGTATTTGTTGGTTTGTACATCAAAAGCATTCTACTGACTTAAAATGACAAAATATTAGAGAAATAGATGGCTTATAAAGAGTAACATTTCTGTGATAACTCTATAATCTTCTATTTCTCTTTTGGACACAAGCTCATTCCTTGCGGATATTGTCACTATACCTCAATTTATAATAGCAAAGCTTTGTTCATGTTGGGCTCGGGCAAAGCCCGGGCTACCCTTACTAGTTCTAAATATATAAAAGAGCGCAGAAGTTGCTCACCGTCGACATCCCTGCTTAGACACATGGGTATTTAAGTATTTTCACATACCTTCTGTGTCTCCTGCCCTTACAAGTGTGCTGAATTTTGGTGAGTAAGCGGGTTATGAGATACTTGTCGATGTTTTCCACGAAATTTTATCGGATTTTACTCCCAGCATCTCTCCTCCTCTTTATCTTCTATGGAATTTTCTCCGTGAGCCTTTGTTGGATTTCTTAGTAACAACATGAGAATTTTTCCGCCGTTCTTCTTTATTCATTGGTATTTGATTAAAATTGGTAGGTGTTTAAATTAGGGATTTTTGTTTACAGTTTCTTTCTTTCTTTTTCTTTTTTGGGTTCCATCTCATTACGTTTTTTCTTTTTGAGATACCCATCTCAATACTGAAACACTTCTGAAATCTTTGATTTTCTGCCTCTGTCAGTGTAGTTTCCTTACCAAAGAACTCAGCTTTTCTGATCTTTAAGAACAACTTATTTTACATATCTATAAGTGCAATTTCTTGATCTTTTTTGCTGATTGTGCTATTGCTTTCGATGTTTTTGAATTCGAAACCTTTCCAGAATGATTTTCTCAATTGAATTTAAACCATTAATCAGTGTTATCACTCAATAGACTTGAGACACCGTACAAAAAACAAATCAAAAATGTTTGTATATTTGTAAATGACCCATCACCATTCTCAAAGCACCCAGTTTTATTCATATGCATGCAGTGTTTCAAAGGCATCTTCTGGTGCTTCCACCGTCTAAGCTCCATCTTATCTCCATCCGATGAAATGCTACCCATTACATCAAAAAAAATAAATATGACGCACAACAAAGAAGGGCTGTTGAAAGCAAAACAGCAACAGGGTCACGGAGGAAGAGGTAAAAGTAAAAGAAGAGAACGATGAAAAAAAATAATAGAGAATGTACAAACAAAATCTAAGTAATAATAATCTCTTCTAGGTCCTGCAGAAAGAGGTTGTTTAGCTCAGCACAGAGGATAGCTTCATATTAGTTACCAAATAATGTTCCATTATTTTAACTGATGTAACTAAGGAAAAAGCATTTTTGGAGGAAAAGAAAACAGAACAAAAGACTTAGCTCTGTCTATGTTTCGATGGTTTCAATTTTTTCTAGACGTGGAATGGAATTGGTCTGATGAAAAAATCTTGTTACGACTATAAGGTACCAACTTGGCAAGTTTTCTTTAGATACCATCGAAACAGAACAAATGTTAATAGTGTGGTTATTCTGGTGTTTCGCATTATTTATAGATCTCCTATACTTTTTTTTTTGCTTTATGCACTACAAATATTCTTTTATGCTTTTGTAAGAAATAGTAACACTTGGAATGCATTAAGAATGCTTTCATTAGTGAAGGCTTATGACAAATCAATGAAAAATAAATAATTCTTCCTTTCGAAAACTGAATATCGCGTTGCTATAAGATCTGCTCTATAGAGCGACTTTGCTGAAGGTGTCCGAGCAGTCTTAGTGGACAAGGATCAGGTTTGTTTCTTGCGTTGCAAGCCCATGATACAATAACTTCATAAATGTTGGGTTTGTGGTTTCTTAGTGCATTTTCTGGTAAGGAATTTTCACTGAGCTTAGTTGAGGTGTGGTTTCATTTTCTTAAAGATTGAATAAACTTCCTGGTTTATATATTCTTTTTTTCGCAATACAGCTTCATTTGTCCTGTTAGACCCACCATGTTGTATTGTCGATTGAGTCGACTTACAACTTGCAGGAAACTAAAACCATTGATGATTTTGTTTCCAGAGTCCAAAATGGAATCCGTCTTGCTTGGAGGAAGAAGCTGGAGAATTGAATGTCTGACTGTGCCCGGATATCCTACACTTTTTCAGTAGTTATGATTAATAAATACTTATCTTTTGATCAATCAGAATACATGTTTATGTGTGTAATCCCAAATGACGCCTCTTCAGATGTTGGCATTATCTCTAAAATGTGATTTATGAGGAAATAAAGTGCAATTGGTGAAAAGAGCAACTGAAGGAGCGTTTTGTAATTTATTCTTCACTTAATTTCTCTCATTATTAACACCCTGTTTATATCTCTGTTTAAATTTCTTTTTTCAGTGCAAAATTGGAAAGTTGAAGAAAATGAGTGGAGATCAACACATGGATATGCATTACATGAACAATATGGGGTTTATTCCGTTACCATAACATAAAATACGTGTACTTCAGCTGAATATTGTACTTTTTGTACTGAGAAATAGTATTTGTCAAAGTGAAACATACTATAGTTGGAAGTGTTTGTTCTGCCGCTCGAAAAGAGTAACGAGCTTTTCTGCTTATTCCATTCTTTCATTTTATCCCAGCCATCTCTCAACCCATTAGCAAGTATACACTGCTATACTTTCAGCAGAGAAGATACCAACTCCATTCATATGCTGACATGTTTTTTCATTGCTTAGGATATACGGAAAATGGTCAAATATATCCCTCTACTATTATTTATTGTTCAAATGTATCCTCCGTTATACTATCCGACCAAATATACCTTACCGTTAGGGAAAGTTTTATATTTGCCCTTATTTTAACGGATCGGACACGTGGAGGCTTTAAAATAGAATCCTCAACCCGTTCCATAAAAACCCAAACCCATAAAAATAACCCATAACCCGGCCTGACCTCCCCCTTCCCCGATTTGAACTTGAAGCTTCAAGTAAGCTTTAATCCGGCCCCGTTTGGCCATACATTTTGGCAACGTTTTTTCAAATCTTTTTTGAAAATATTGTTTGTTCATAGATTAATAATCTATTTTTGAAAAAATTTTGAAATTATTTTTCATGTTCCCAATATCTAGTTTAGGGTAGATTTTGGGTGAAACTTGTTCTCCCACTCACATAACTTCAATTTTTTTCCAAATAAAATGCATGTCCAAACATAATTTCAACTTCCAAAAATTATTTTTCAAAACTACTTCAAAAATTATTTTTTCAAATTTCAACTAAATTTATGTCCAAACGCTAGCGGAGTTTTAACTTTCTTCTTCAAATTTTCTGCCTCAAAACCGTTAGATACTCACGTTTCAAGCTCCAAATATCAGTTTCCAGCAGTTTTAAGCATTATTTTGGTCGTCATTTAAAAATCAAAACCCCCAGATTCGAAGCTTTGAAGAATGCTTCCAATGGAGTCTTTAGCTCTCTTTCTAGTTCCAAGTTATCTCCAGAGTAGCTAATCATGATTTTATAGCTCAAGATATTAAGTTCAGATGTTTTGAAGATTAAAGATTAGCTCCAAATCAAGTTCGGACAACAAATAACTCCTAATTATTTTTTAAAAATTCAAGCTTTAAACCCAACAAACCAAGGTAATGGTGTTCTTCAAAAGTTCTACTCCAGATATTTGTGAATTTTCATCTCCACAAACACACAATCAACTGAATTTAATTACCAATAAACAATAACATATATTTTTAACCTCAAATTTGAATACTTTTTTTCTTCATCCATAACTTCGATCTCCAAGCTAACCTAGCATTAGGTGCTTGTAATGTTCACTTCACTTTCCACCCAACAGTCGCCAAGTGATTCAAGCACAATCAATTGAATCTAATCAGATTTTAGGAACAAACAAACAAGCTTCGAAATAAATGTTCTGTAACTCTAGGCACATGGGTATTGTCTTTGACTTTAAATTATTGTGTTTCATAGACACCCAGATAAAGCTTATTAGAATTTTTAGAAATACTTGTCTCATCTCCCATCTTTACATCACCTTCAGAGTTGGCCTTCTTGGTGTGAGAGGTGGGATGTAATGTGATTTAGGATGTTTTGATAGGAAGGGGAGATCGAATCAGGTCATGTGTTAGTATAATATATGGTTGGCTTTTTATCGAACGGGTTGGGGCTTCTATTTTAAAGCCTTCACGTATCTGATCCGTTAAAATAAGGGCAAATATAAAACTTTCCATAACGGTAAGGGTATATTTGATCGGATAGTATAACGGAGGATATATTTAAACAATAAATAATAGTAGAGGAATATATTTGACCCTTTTTCGCAGAAAATACTATCTCATGTGGCAAAAAGCATTAGATGTTAGCTCGTACTTGAGCAATGTTAACGAATCTTACAAGTGATTTTTCTCTTCATCACAAAGCAATACTTTTTAAGCAAGAGTTACCATATCACTCTTTACGCTGTCAAACAATATTTATCGAAATAAAACACACTCTAATTCAAAGTGTTGGGCCTGGTTTGCCCGGGCCAATCCCATCTAGTTCAATTAGAATACACATCATGTCTACTTTGGAAATTCTAATCCCTATCAAGTTTTAGTTTTTTAGATATCTCTTTTTTGTTAATTTTTAAAAGTACACGATTAATTTAAAATAAATTACCTAAAATATATTTAAGAATAAAAAAAGAAGGAGCGAATGAAAAGTGGTTGACCAGAGTCAATGACACTGATATTTTACCCAAAAGTAAATACACGTATAAAGATCCAAAAGTAAATTATTGTATTGTTGGATAAAATTATAATTAAAGTTAAATATACTAAAAATACGGATGAACTAATATATGAAGAATTTGAATGAAAAAAATAAACTGTTTTCTTTAATGTTGAGAACAAATAACTAATTTGAATAACTAAGTAATAGAACAGTTTAATTTTAATTATTTTTAAATTCATTATGTAAGTAAAGTTATTTTCATTCTGACAAAACTCTTAAGATACATTAAGTTGTCTACGTAAGAAGAGCATTGGTGGTAACAAAAATTAAAATAAACAACACAAAATTAGTTATAGTATAGTATTAAGAGTCAAATTGGTAAAAACACAATACTTGAAGTGATAAGGATAAACACAATAGAAAGAAATATATATTCTATATGAGTTGTCATTTATTGTTATTATTAGTATTATTTGCATTTAAGATTAAGAAGAATGCTTATTTTATATAATTTTAAAGTTTTGGAGTCCTTTTTTTGAGCGTCTTGCCAAAGACCACATATAAAATAATAGAATGGAGAAAAGAAAAATAGTAAAATAGTAAAATGACAATTAGAAAATTGGGAGGCAGCCAAAAAAGAAAATGACTGGGACAAAAGGAAATAAAAAAACATAAAGAAAAGGGGAAGTTGGATAAGGTTCAAGATGATTCAAACTTGAATTTTATACACGAGAAAAGTTTTCAAAAAAATCGATTAGTCATGACAGCTTTACCTAAAGTATAAGAATTATAAGAATTTTTTTGGCAGAATTCCTCATCTTATAGAGCTAACTAAATGAGATCAACATTCATACTTCTTAGAACTTATATTTTCTTCTTTAATATTTATTTTATAAGTCAAACACATAGTTTAATATTTATTGACGCGAGGTACACGTGCAAGACACGTACACAAAAATTAATTAATAAAAACACTTTGATTTTCCTTGTTTAAGAAAAGGTTCATCAGGAAAAAAAATGGTACCTATTATATTTTTGGGACCAAAACCTTATGCCTTACTCGTTAATGTAGCATCGTGCCAAGGTCTAGCGAACACTATAATTCACCCACTATTAAAGAGATGAACGGCTACGATCACTTGTATTACAATCCAAAATCCTCTAAGGGTCGTGATAGCATTGGACACCACTGTCAGGCAAGCCAACACCCATAAATTAATTAAATTCCCATTTTTAGTATTTATTGAAATCATTCCTTTGATACATTAAATCATAAATAATGAAATTTAGTGAAATAAGATGATGTTTTTAACAAACTTAATATTTAATAATCTCATAAGCATCCCAGAACCCGGTGTCACAAGTGCATGAGCTATTTCTAGGAAATCAAATGAAGTACACTAACTGTTCGAGATACAAATTGGACAGAAGGTAAATACTATACACTGAAAGAGATTATGCCGGCTGCGGTTCGCCTCGAGAGAAGCAGCTCACCTAAGTCTTTGTATCATCCATGCTGCTATGCCCATTAGGCCGCAAGAGGTACATGTTCCTGTGCAACAAAAATGCATAGCAAGTGTAGCATAAGTACAAAAATAACCTGTACTCAGTAAGTATCCCGTCTAATCTCGAAGAAGTAGAGACGAGAGGTCGACTTCGATACTTACTAGTGGTCTAATAACAATATACCAATAATATAATAAATCGAGGATTTTCATAAAAAGGGTTGTAACTCAATAACATGAGGCAAGCAAACAATTCTTCCTTTTATAAGAAATTCCCAAATTCATTTTCGTCATTTATACATTTATCTCAGGCCAGGGAGAAACAAATATCAACATTTAATGAATTCCAAGGCAAACAATACAAGCACGCACAAGTTATTCCGTGGTCGTACGACCCGATCCAACAAATATTTAAATTGTGCATTGCCAGAGGGTCGAGTGGCGCGAACCATAGATGCATCTATTTAATCTAGCGAGGCGTTCGGCTCGTTCCACAATAGATAAACACATTCAAACAGTCAAATCAAGAATTCATCAAGGAGAAATTATTTAGAAAAAGACAAGCTTCTCTTTTAAAAGTCAAGAAATGATGTCTAGCCTTTTAGAAATTTATTTATACGTTTGATATGTTTTAAGCATTTTTAAGTTGATAACAAGGTTTCAAATATTACAAGTAAAGCATGGTTTTGGGCCCTAAACTACCCGGACTTAAGCATAATAGTAGCTACGCACGGCCTCTCGTCACCTCGTGCATACATAGCCCCCACAAATAGGAGCACCTATCTAATTAATTTACTTATGGGGACAATTGCCTCTTACAAGGTTAGAAAAGAGACTCACCTCACTCCGCAGTTCCATATCCGGCATTACACTCCCTTCCGAAGACTCAAATTGATGCACAACGTTCCAAGGCTAGCCAAAATTATGTAAACCCATCAATACATGTTCAACTACTCATAATAATCAAATTTGTAACAATCCCTAACCCCGATCGAAAATTTGACAAAAACGCCCTCGGACCCACGTGCCCGGATTCCAAAATTTTTTGAAGATAAAGTTTACCCATAACCTCACGAACTCAAATATGTAATTTACTCTTAATTTCATGTCCAAAATCGTGGTCAAAATTCGAAAGTACTAATTTTCTAGATTTTCCCCTCAACCCCAAGTTTCTACCAATTTTCATGCTAAAATCTATACAAAATCAATGTATTTAACTCAAAACTAACATAAACCACTTACCTCATGTTTTATGGCAAAAATGGCACCTCAAAGTTGCTCTAAAATCGGCTCCAATGGAAGAAATGTGGTTGAAATGAACCCAACCCCCGATTTAAAAGAACCTCACTACTTCCAGCATTTCTGCACCTGTGGTCACTTGACCGCTTCTGTGGTTCCGCAGGTGCGACCCACAATCCACTTCTGCGGTCCTCCTCCAGGCCCTCAACTTCCGTATCTGCGCCCATCCTCCCGCAGGTGCGGTCCCGCTTCTGCAGCAAGCTGAC